AACGCTCAAGTGAAGGTAACTGGCTGATAACGGTGGGTCGGTAGTAATTTGCGGGTTCCGTCGAGTTGTCTACATGGTCAACGTCTGCGGAATAAAAAGCATTAATCCAGTTTACCTGGAGCATAGCAACACGGATTTCCTAACAGAAAAAGCGTGTGCAGATGAGGAAGGGCACGTAAATGTTGAATTTCATCCAGCTTTGATATGTTGTTGTTCCGTAGATATAGCTCCCTGAGGGTACGGCAGTGAGCAAACGCTTCGAGGCTTTCAATCTTATTCGAACTTTAATACATGGGTTAGAAGGACGTTAAAGAATTAGTCACCTTAGTGAAATCACCTCCAGCATAGGCATTGAGCGAAGTAGAGACACATTTTTGATATTAAGACCCCTAAAATACGTCGAATTAAACTAAGTTACCACAAGTTAACTCTTTTTACAGATTCCAGAGTTTGATTTTGGGCCCTCATAAGGATCATTGACTCTGTCAGTGTCTGCCCATCCATAGTTCATGCGTATCACCTGGGATTAAAGCGAGCAGGATCTACTGAATGTAAGAACACAAACATGGGCAAAAGGCATGGACTAGACTGGCAGATTTGTTAGGAACCGCAATTAAAACGTCATTTAAAGTGTAATACTGTTCAAACAATTGGATTACAAAGTAAGTTGAATGTTTCGGTTGCTCTATGTCGTTTGTGTTCCTTTTTTGTGCAACATTAACAATCTACAAATAAACTGTGCTTAGTGGAGTTGCTAAGTGTCTTATTAGAGAAGGAAAAACGCAACCGCAGATCTCGACCAAATGAATAGCTAGAATTCACAACATAAAAGAGAAGCTAGTCTCTTCTAAAGTTGCCACAACATGCAAAACTTCATATTTCGGCCATACGCGTTGCGCGTGAAGGCGTTTCACACGTAATACACTGATTTTTTTCATGAGTAGTTTACGCAAGCATCAACATCCATGAATAAATGATACGGGGATTCGGTGAGAACCATCAAGATTGAAAGGCGGCTGGTCTTCATAAACTTCTGCCGACAATCTTTCACCCCAATCCCAGTTATCGGAGAAACCTAGCTAGGCGGATGGGTTTATCTGAGTGTCAGCTAACCTAAACTTCAGCCGATTGAAGAGGCCATTTTTGTAGTAGGATATGCAACACTCATTAAATTTCTGCGCGACATCGGCCTCCGTAGGTTAAATTCATGCGCACGGGATAGCCTGTCGGTGGTGTTTACAATTGAAGAGGCTTAAGCATTTGAAGAAACTTTGGATCAGAGGTCTACCATCTGAGAACCGATAGTACCCTACTATGAAAACGTGCCGGAACAGTTAAAACTAAGCGAACCCCAGAATGTTATCCTGTACAGCTTACCGGAGGATTTCCAAAGAGATTACGGAGAGGGAAAATGACAGATGCAGGCAGTTTCGGTATTTTTAAAGTCTATTCAAGCTTATCAAGTCTGTTAATAGTTGGCACTGCACTAGGCGAACATCATAGTCTCAAAAAACCTCCCATTCTGGAAAAATTGCAAGTTGTCCAGTCGCGACTCCGTTTGAATATGTGGGTTCTCTTGTTTGAACGGGTCAGTAACTAGCGTAGTCTCCTTCTGTGATTACTGGCAGTTGTTTTGATGAGATGAAAGAAGGATAGAGCAGCAGGTAGAAAAAAATCAACGTGACTGTAGGTGTCCCTTTTTATTTGCAGACAAGTTCATCTGAAGGACATTCTACCTCCGGAGTCGCAGCAGTAAACTGGTTGCAAGACCTATCCTTTTGGTTGCACTACGGTGACCATAGTTACTCCCCCCTGTTTTACGTAACCGTTAACTTCCCCCTTTCTTCTTGTCCCCTATTGCGGTGTATAGTATATCCGCCAGACAGTAACTTTTACTCCATATTTTGACTGCTTGAAGCACTATGCCGGAAGTATGAGTGGTGTTCCAGAAGATCCTAACCCGGCACCGTCCTTAACTGAATTCTCTGTATCGGGGAAACCCCTACTTACATTTTAATAACCCTCTGTTAATTGGCAATGAAACCCATTGCTATTACTTTTCCCGCAACGATGGTTTTTGCGGTTCTTGATGTCATCTCATTTCGACCCCAGCGGTCTGCCGACGCTCATGGCGGAATCCTCTGTTTTCGCCACCTACTAGTAGTTTGGTCGGCCAGCAAAGAAATCTTACGGTTGTTTCTTCCCGTATGCTTTGAGGACGGCCTCAGCGTTTAATGCCCCTTCCTCGGCTGAACTCGAGGCGGACTGCGACCGATCGCGTCTGGGTTCCTTTCGTCTCGCCTATTTGATGCAAAAAACCTTATCCGGTTTATGAATTCTGCTTTTACGATGTCCGTTTCGGATCCCTTATGGACTACCACATGCCGGCCAGTCCTGCCTGACCCGCACACTTATCCCTCTATGAATAACAATTTTATCTCATTAAAAGTTAATCCAGTCACATTCCCACGTTTATTTGAAAAAAGGAGTTTTTTCACTGTCCGCTAACCAGTTTTCTTATCAGACCGCTTATTCTATGTACATGAACTGAATACTGTACAGATTCTGTCTACCTGTTCTAGAATTTATATGAAGATTTATTTTTACTTGCTATGATAGGATCCCCAAGGATCCTTAATAAAACAATTCATTTATTTATTTATATGGAGAAGGAGCCGAGAGGTACACTTCCCATGCATGTGAAAGGATTCAATTGGATACGGGCATTGTGTGTTAGTGGGTGATGTTGAAGTGACTTGTAGGTGATGGTGGATAAATGCGTATTGGCGTGCTATAGACGGCGGTGGTCTACCGCAGGTTTTCGTGTGGCTCATGTGGCCTAGTAGGCCCATGCGGTTGCGAATGTATGACGACAATGCAGACAGTTGAGTGGGGCGCGTCTGGTGTATTTTGGTGCTCCAGGCACTGGTTCGCCAGTCTCCGCGCGGTAGGTTCGCGGGTAACCGACCAGCCCAGTGCATAAGGTGAATGTGTGGGGATAGTTGGGGCAAGATAGAGGGAAAGCGTCAGCATCCGTTTAAATGGTGATGGTAGTGGGCGTACTGAGCGATGTAGTGTTGATCGAGCTAGGCATTATGGGTGGGCGACGTGTATTAGGTGTGACGACATTGCGGTGAATTACGTTGTCGTGGCCATGCATGGGACCGTATACACTAATACAGTGGAGGAATGTGCAGTAGCAGTGAAGGCTGCTGAGGCGGATGCAACAAGTGTATGTGGCGCCCTAGACACTGGTTCTCCTGTCTTCGTGCGGAGGATTCTCAAGTAAATGACCAGGCCAGTGAGTGAGGTGCATGTGATATCGCAATGAGAACAAGTATGGTCCGAGTTTACATTGACGGATTTGGGCTGATGATGGCGATGGTACTAGCTGACGGGACTTCGGATGTCATCCCATCGGCAACGTAGAGTGAGAGGTCGTGGCGTTGGCGGCGCCGGTCTCTGCGATTGACACATGGGTTGAGGCAGGGTAGATGGTGCCGGGAATCGTTATCGGCGGAGCATCAGGGACCTGGTCGTCAGTTATGAGGGTGTTCGTCGTCGAGGTGTTTGCGGCAGGAATGTTCGTGGGAGGAGAAGTTGACGTTGCCGGGTTGTTGACAAATTGCTTCTGAAGGTTTTTGACGAGACCAATTCGTGCGCGGAATGTGCTTTGACAGTGGGGACATGTTGAAGGTGTCCGGCCGTTGGCATTGAGGACCCGAGACACTTGTGACTTGCGACCATCCCTTTTGGCTTTGCGGCGGCGAACCGGTTTGCTTCGTAGAAGGTTGCGACAGTCTTCACTCTCTTTTACAGGTCGGTGTGTTCTAAGCGAGGTCCTCCCAGGTCTCCGGGTTGACATGCAATTGCTTCGGAGAATTTTTCAAAGTATTCTTGCTGCGTCGTTGGGTCCTCCCCGTAGGTTAGCTGTCATTGCAAATTCTCCGTAGAAGAGTTGCATTGGCAGGCGAGCGTCGTGAATTCTCACCAGATGGCCGCTCCGCCGCAGTTGCCGTTGCCCCAGTCTAGGATGGATACCGAGGATTTCGGTCCGTTCTAGAGCTTCCTGTACTGTCATCTTTGATTCTGTGTTTTGTGGAGATATCTGAGAAGGAAATGGCTGCGATTCCCGGCATGGGTGGAGTAGACGGTCCAGTTTTTCGCTCCGCGCAGAGGTGTCGTCAAAATGGCGGCCTCGCGCATCTTCTGTTTAGTGTACAGCCGAGGGTCGTAGCGATTACGCAAAGAGGCTTGCAGTCTGCCGAAGGCTTGGCTGGCTTTGTTGAGCCGATAGGCAACCTTTTCGTGTATGTTTGTGCTGCGAGAGAGTAATCTTCCTAAATAAGCGAATTCCTTCATGGTTTTGAGCTGGTTAGCGTCGACAGTGGTTCGAGGTGGGATGCAGTCGTGCGTGTTGAGCGACGGCAAGTGTAAGACCGCCATTCTGTGCGAATTGTTAGTCAGGCCGAAGTTGGCGCATTTGGCGGTGAGGGGTTCATTGCTCCGTTTAATGTCTTCCTCAGTCGTGGTGTTGAGCGCCCCGTCGTCGGAAAAGCACAAGTTGTGGGCTGTGCTCGTAGATAGTCGTCTAGGGCCTGCATGCGCCTGCTACTGAGAAGGTGCCCGGCAGCTCTGTAGGCGATGCTTATCCCAGGGCGTTCATCATGGTAGGCCTTCATCAGCATGTCAAGGAACATGAGGATGAAAAGAGTGGATGCGCGTACGCGGCCGTGACTCACTCCAGTGGTCAACGCGAATGTGATGTAAAGGTGGTACCACATATTCTGGAACTTTTCTTATAGCGGTTAGTACCATGTCTGTGGTCCCGCGGTGTCGTCGGGAGCCACAGTGGCTTCCCGGCAGAAGTCCATGCTTTAGTTGACCGTTGAGACGATTGAGAGGAAGGCAAGCGATAGTCTTCTCAACTTCGTTGAGTAGTTAAGTGACTCTGTGGCTGTCATAGCTTAGCCGGTCCCATTTACGCCTGTGGAGTTGAACGATGGTCATTTTCTTGAAATTCTGAGGAAACTTTCTGTAGGGCCATAACTTCGGGAATAGCGTCGTCTGCTGGTCCATCATTCGGTGGCCGCTGTTATTGTAGATTTAAGCTGGGATAACAGCAGAGCGTGGTGCTTTCCCACAGGACAGTTTTCATACGGCGTTATTGGTTTCTGGAAGGGAGGACGCAAGATCCAGGGCAGCCGGTCGATGGTGGCGTCGGAGATTGTTAAGGGACGGTTGAGAACGCTTCTTAATTGCTCGACCCAGCGCTTTAGAATCTGCGACTTCTGCGTCAAAAGCGTTGATTCATAGGAGCTGAGAAGAGGTGTGTTCCGTCTCGTTGAAGGACGTAGATCGCCTTTGAAATCAACGAAGAAATTCTTCGATTAGTTGCGATCGGCATATCTTTGGATCTCCTCGGCCTTGCAAGCCCCTCAGCAGTCCTGCACCTATAATGATAAAACTAAATTTTATTTTAGGTACCTCTTAGTGTACTGTCAAGGTTAGTACTATACTCTGTACAGTGCTAAGTCCATGCATATGGAAAACGGTGGACGAGCAGTAAAAAACTCATTTTCTCGAAAAAGACAACATGAATGTGAATTAATTCGCTTTTAAGAAGAAAAAACTATCGCTCGTAAAGGGAATATATGCTAGTCCAGCAAGGCTGGCCTGCATATGATAGTGTGTAAGGGATTCGAAACGGCCATCGTCAAGGCATAATCCCCAAAACAATTGAGACTATCCACCTCAAAGTGGCAAGACAAGAGGAACCCAGACGCGATCGTACACAGTCCGCTTAGAGCGGACTAAAGGCGTACACGGAAACCTAGCCCTGCTACTTCTTTGGGAGGATTTGCCAGGGAGGACGTCGCGTTCTGTGAAGGACACGGTACAAGGACTGAAAAACCGAAAAATCGAAATTTCTGATGAGAGATCCTAAAAAGCGAAACCACCCACAGAGAAAGAAGTGTGATCGGATATGTTAGTTTGTGGACGGCGTCCTAATTTCCGTTCGCCATTTCTCGGTATCATGGGAATGTTGCCGGGGAATATTGAGGAAAATGAGAGCTTAGTCGAGTCATTTTTCGGCTAAAGTTGCCGAATTCTTTTAAAATTGTGTAGATTGTCTGGTGATCTTATAGCTACTGGAAGGCTATTCCAAACGGAGGTATTCATGAAAGAGAAAAAAGCGCTTAGAGATTGAAGAAGCGGGGAGAATGGTCAAGGAAGAATTGCGAAGATTGTATGGGCGACTACTAGATGTAAGGGCTGAAGTCCGAGGAAGATTTGAACTATTATTAATGTGAAAGAGGAGAGAGAAGCCTTCTTCCAGTCTTCGAACTCATAAAAATTTTAGGTTTGCCAGCTGGCATTTATCTGAAAAGGAAATATTCGGATGTGCTCTGCTTAAGAGTCTTGCAGTAGAATTTCTTTTGAACCTCAGAACGACGGCCAAATTTAAATACTGGGATAAAAAAAGAAGTTTTCCCATAATCAGGAAAGAAACCACCCTCGAATAAGACTGCAAATAGTTTTCTAGGCGGAGGAGGGACATTTCTTTGCTACTTTATAGGAAAGCTCGGAGTATTGTCGGTTACTACGGAATGCGAGTAAGCAAGCTTGCTTATCAGTTTCTAAATATTTTCAGGCACAAAATTAATGGTTGCGAGGGAAACATCCGACAACGGAGGAATTGAAGAGGTTGGGTCAATTTCAGTGGTAAATTATTGGCAAAAAACGAACTTAATGATTCTACTTTTCCTGACTCCTCTGTGATGAAGGTATCGTTAGAAATAAGCAAAGGCAGAATGACTTGATAGGCCTTGGCCAATGATCTTTGACGGAAGACCTGGGCAAGAAATTTAAAAGAATTCGCACCACTGATACCTAACGACTCTCCACGCTTATCTCGCGTGGGCCTCATTTTCGACGCTAATTCAAATATTTCAGCGATTCTTAGGTGAACCGACAGTGATCTAGCGGAAGGATCTTTAGGCTGCTTCGTCAGCTTTTTACGTCCGTTTTTACAAAAATGTGGGACATCAGAGAAGATGGCAAGCCAAGCCGGCTAACGGCGTGGTCGCTAGATTCGAGGAGCCACGTGTGGGAGTTGTGCACCTGGTAATGGACACCAAACGTAGCCAACAGACGACATCTACAGATGCGACCTCCCACGACCATAACATGGACTCATAACTTGACACTCCTACACCCCAAACAGGCACCTAGCC